TCTGATCAAAAAATTGTGTGGTGTCACTCTGTCTTCTGTCTGTTGTGTGTTGTCTTTTTGCATTTTTGACTTTTTTTCCAGAACCACTGGGCTAATTTCAACCAAACTTGCCACAAAGCATCCTTTGGTGAAGGGGATTAAAGTTTGTTCACAGGAAGCACCTTCATTTAGAGGGGAGATTATAAATTAAGAATTCATGAAAATTTAGTGGCATCTATTAAATCTTCTTCTATAGAACCACTGGGCAAGAAAAGATTAAATTTATGTGAGAGCTTCATTACATACTGTTATATTTGTTCTTATCTTGATCCCCAAGGGTTGGATGGGGCCATGACAGGGGATCAAAGTTTCACATTGAAATATATAGGAAATATCTTAAAAAAATCTTCTTCTCAAGAACAGCAAGTCTATGATTAGTCATATATTAATACAGTAGCATCCTCTGGTAGTGTAGATTCAAATTTGTTCATATCATCATCCCCATGGGAAGCACAGGGCCAAGACAGGATGTCAAAGTTTCACATAGGAATATATACCGGTAGATAAAATCTTTAAAAATCTTCTTCTCAAGAACAGCAAATTCATTATCAGTCATGTTAATACAGAAGCATCCTCAGGTAATGTAGATTCAAATTGTACATATCATGACCATAGGGGGAAGGGCAGGGCCATAACAGGGGATCAAAGTTTAACAGAGGAATTTATAAAAGAAGTGTTTAAAAATCTTTTTCCCATGAACAGAAAAGCCATGATTAGTCATATTTAGATGGAAGCATCTGCAGGTTGTGTAGTTTCAAGTTTGTTCAAATCAATGGAGTAGGGTTGGGCCACAATGGGAAATCAAAGTTTTACAAACGAATACATTAGGAAAAAGTACTCTTCTGAAGAACAGCAAATTCATGATCAGTCATATTTATATAGAAGCTTCCTTAGGTAGTGTATATTGAATTTTTTTCATATCATGACCCCCTGGGATAGGGTGGGGCCATAAAAAGTGATCCAAGTTTTACATAAGAATATGTAGGAAAAAGAATCTGCTGATATTGATAGAGGGCCATAGTTACTTAGGTGAGCATTGTGGCCCATGGGCCTCTTATTTAATTTTTATGCTCCTGTAATCGAACATTCGCAGGCATATAGTTTTTGTCCTGTCTGTCCGTATGTCTGTTTGTCGGCAAAAACTTTAACCTTGCCCATAAAATTTGATTGGTTGGAGCTATTGCTTTCATATTTCACATGTGTATTTCTTGTGACAAGACTTTTCTTTGGGTACTACCATATTTGACCTTTTGACCTTGGAGTTTGACCCACTTTTGCAAAATTTTATCGGATTTTAACCTTGGCAATAACTTTTGAACAGTTGATGCTAGGGCTTTCAAACTTCACTTGTGTATTCCTTGTGACAAGAGCTTTCTTGGATACCAACAACATTGACCGTTTGACCTTGACCTTAGAGTTTGACCTACTTTTGAAGAAACTTTAACCTTGGTGATCAGTTTTGAACAGTTGGTGCTAGGGCTTTCATACTTCACAGGTGTATTCCTTGTGACAAGACCTTCCTTTGGGTACCAACAACTTTGACCCTTTGACCTTGACCTTGGAGTTTGACTTGCATTTCAGAAACTTTAGCCTTTGCCATGAGCTGACATACAGGGGCATCAGTGTTTCACAAATGCTTCTTGTTGAATACCAAAGTAAAATCTGCTATTGTTTTATTTTCCATGCATGATTATTGACTTGAACAATTCAATTTGTATGGTAAATCCCTGTTATGTATTAATGATGGCAAAAAATAACCTGCTTAATAAAGGAAAGGACTGAATATCCTAATTATTTTTTTTCTCTTTGTGTGAACTTACAATATAGTCATATTTCTGTTACTGAGAGCATTTACTGTAATGTTTATGTTTCAGTTAGACAGATATATAATATGTTCCCTAGTATGCCATTTTTATAAGTTTTGATGTTTTTTGTTTGCAGACTGAGTTTTAACTTTGAGTGTTTCTTTGGTGCTGCAGACTGCCCCTCCCTCACACACTTGTACTCAGGGATAACCATTCTGGCCATGCTCCTGACTCGATTGTTTGTTGTATTATTTTTACATTTCTCAGAGGGAGCAAATTACCTCATTATCATCATGGTAAGGATTTAAAGCTAAGCAAGTGAGTTAAGGCTAAATAAAGACATTTCCAATTGCTTCCAACTACTTTAAATAAAAAGACCTGAAAGATGGAAGTTTTCTACTCTAATGAAGGGGACATAACATTTTTAATGATTTATAAGTATATGAAAGTTTTTTTTAATTATACATTACCTTATTTGACATTTTGTGCATTCTTAGAGCCTACAGACCCCAGTTGTTGTGTTGTTTTGGACTTTGTTTGATGAGCAGCCATTACACTGGCACCCAGATGTTCATCTCTCTACTTGGCTCAGCATAGCATCAATCTGTATCATGTTGCCATCCATCTATTGCTACAACAGAAAGTAAGCGACAGTTTAAACAACATTATTGATAAATCTTAACTATAGTTTGACTCTTTATGTTACTACCTGACTTTTCAGTTCTGTTGAAAACCCTGTGACCTCAAAAGAGAACAAGATGGCTGACCAAACAACAGAAGAGACCCGAGGACTTCTTGTTTGCTCCACAGATAGTTACCAGTCGATTGATGCCTCCACATGTGTGGTCATCAACAGTGATTCTCAGACCAGCCATTACAATCCCATGGGATTCCGAGGATCCTACTCATCACAGATTGCAAGTTCACTCAATACTGAAGGATCAGATGTAGCATGGTCATTTTCCTAAGAATCATTATCATATACATGTACTATGGTACAACTATCTTTATCATAGTAACAAAGTGCTCAAATTCCTCAGCTTAGGGGGGGGGGGGGGGGGTAAGGCAGAAAATAAGGGAAAAAACTAATGTATCATGGGTGTGTTTGTGAAGCAATGCTTTTTAAAAACAACTTTGATTTTAATAAGTTTTAGGTTATTCATGCATTGTTGACATTTACATGAAAATTCACTTTTTAGAAAAAATTGCATTTTACAAATCCTAAGCTGACTGGCCAGCAAAGGATCAGATGGTTACAGATTAGCATGTAGGTTGTTTGTTGACCATTAATTAAATCTGCAAGAGATATGGGTTTGGTCTTTCACCTGAGGTGTTTTTCTAGTGTTGATCACCCATGTATTTGTTTGAAACTCATGGTAGAATTAGCTTGACATGCAGGGTTGACTGCTAGTGAAAGTTGTCAGCCCTGCCAAAACACTACCAGCCCGAGAAAATAAGTCTTTTATATAAATTTGTTTTTAGTGATAATGTGAATGGGGCACGATCACCGTAACTTCTATCCCTAATCTATAGGCTTTCGAATTCAGCCCTTTGCTTATTACACTTTTAGCTACCTATACTAATAGTTGATTTGAGAGATATTTATCAAATATATGAATTTTAATATATGGCAAATTTTAATTAAGCTATATGATATCGTTGAAAGACTTAAATATGTGTATTTTGTAACACTTTATGACTTTGTGCATTTTGTAATTGAGATGGAGGCATTCTATTTCTTTTTTTTCCTTTTTGATGTCAAAATTTAAATTTCAAAACTAAAATACTTAGATTTCAGTTTCCTATATTAGGTTCTCTCTCTCTCTATATATAATTATTATATATATTATAATTATTATATATATTATAATTTTACTGTGGCATTAATTTTTATGCCCCGCCATGAATATGCCGGGGCATATTGTGTTTGTTATGTCCATCTTCTGTCTGTCTTTCCATCACACTTTGGGTTTAGCTTAGTTCAAAGCTTATCAAAGAAACCATTCAATATATTGTTATCAAACTTCATATGCTGATACATACTGATTTAAGCTGTTCAACTGCATCAACATTTATTTGATCTTCACCTTTCCTTTGACCTTGACCTCACTTTTCTTAAATTAATAGTATTTAGCTCAGTTTCAAAGAAACAATTCCAGAAATTGTTATCAAACTTCATATGCTGATACATACTAATGTAAGCTATTAAACTGCATCAACATTTTCTGACCTTGACCTTTCCTTCGACCTTGACCTCACTTTCCTTAAATGAGTGTTTAGCTCAGTTTCAAAGAAACCATTCAAGATATTATTATCAAAGTTCAAATGCTGATACATACTGATTTAAGCTATTCAGCTGCATCATTATTTTTGACCTCGACCTTTCCTTTGACCTTGACTTTACTTTCCAAAAATGTCTGTTTAGTACAGTTTTAAAGAAACTACATGTATTTAAAATATTTTTATGAAACCTTGACCTCACTTTTCTTAAATATGCATTTTGCTTAGTTTTAAAGAAACCATTTGATATATTTTTATGTAAGCTTATACATTTATACATAATTTGGTGTGAATTTATCAACTATATCCAATTTTTTAGATTTAATTTCAAAACTATTCAAGATATTTTCATACATTAATAAAATTTACATGTTGCATTACTTATGAATATACCCTTTGCAGGGCATTCATGTCCTATGGACATGTTTCTAGTTTAATTTTATTTTTTGCTTCAAAACATTTTTTTTTAATTTTCTTTAGATACCCAGTGAATGTATTCAAATCATGCAACGATGCTGTGCCAAAATATCAATGTGATATTAATAAAGATTATATTTTATCTTTGATTGTTTTATTCATTAATATTCAATAAGGCTGTTCAAGGATATTTCTACGTGTAATGCCTCCAGCGCACGTAGGTTTCACAGAAATTGGCAATTAAAAAAAAAAACAAATCAAAGTTTGTATTCTGGTTTGCTTTTACTTTTAGCAACTAAAAAATGTATTCTATAGGAATAAACATATATGTACGTCTTCCTCTACAAAATCAATTTTCTGTCTTGCACATTTTTTATAATTACGATTGTATGTGAAATTTATAGCGAACGACTTAGCAAAATCGGAACGCATCATTTGGCGCTATTTTACCTTGCCATGCGCACATGATTGTTGTCAGTTTGGATACACAACACGAATCTATTTCTTTGCGCTCTATACCTTGTAACAAAATCAAAAACATGGCATTGCCAGTAAATGGCTGTGTACCCCTTAAGAAACCTAGACTAGCACCCACAAACCCTGTTACTGTTGTCCTGGGATCACAATGGGGTGATGAAGGGAAAGGAAAAATTGTTGACATGATTGCTGCTAATGCCGACATTTGCTGCCGCTGTCAGGTGTGTATTTCCGTGTTTACGTTTGTTTTGAACATTTTTTGTATTATTTGCTTTCAGTTATGTTGCAGAATTATCAGAAAAAAATGTTTTTCATCACTGTGTGATTTTAGAGTTACTGTATACTGTGTGTATTGTTAACCTTGGCCGACCTTCCATGCATTTGATTTAGGGTGAATTTCAAAACTTGATATTTGGAAATCTTACGACGTGGAAACTTTTACCCCAATACTGAAAATTATTGAAAACTTCTCAAAATTTGTGAAAATTATTGTAATGAATATCACATATATAAAAACAAAAACATCATTCCATGATATCATAAATGGAAAGATAATTGTGTTAAGAAAGTATAGTTTGATTCATTTGGAATACACAGATTTCAAATAGTTTTTACTTCATTGTTTGTGTTGCATGCTTTCCTTTGAATGAAACTATATTCATGGGTTTCACAAATACCATGAATGTCATTTTTACGTGCTAGATATGTTTTACAGCACAAGATCAAGATGTGTGTGTAGGTGTTGGCATCATGTGGTTGCCTATTGTGTTAAGTTAGTGAAGTAGAATAATGCTGTGAGCAATTAATGGAACAAGTGGCAATAATTAGTGACATCTGTATAATATAGGGTATATGAATGTGTATACAACTGTAGCACTTCAGGTTTTATTCAGATACCCCATAAGTTCATAACCATTCTAAAAATATACTTCAGTAATACTGATAATCGTAAATGTTTCCAGAAAATGTTAAGATATGTTTCTTGAATCATGAATTAGTGAATATTCTTGTGTGGTTTAATTGTGCCTAAAAACTTTTGCTTTTGCATATCTCTGCAGTAGTCATAAGGTTAATCAGGGGTTAATCAATGCTCAGCTTTTACTTCTGGTATTGGTAAATGGTATAATTTTCTTTTTTGCAAATAAGGAAAACAATACTATTTTAGATTTCAAAAAATTCCCAATTAAACATAACATTTAATTTGAATATCTTTATTTATGACTTTCCCTTTTTTGTCCAATTGCAGTTTAACTGACCTGCCTTCTTTGTCATCTGTATGCTTTATGAAAAAAATATATTTAGAAACATTTACAAGCTTCAAAATAATATTGATCATCAATATGGTAGGTAAGCCTGTTATACAGTGAGAACTATTCCTTGAAGAGAATTAGAGAGAAAGATTACTTTTGTTATTTCATATTTTATTGTCTGAAAAAAAAATAAAAAAAAAAATTGGGGGGGGGGGATATCTTGATAGAGGCCTAGAAATGACCCCAAAATTACTCTCAAAATGACATTTTTCTCCATTTGGTAAAAATTTCCTGAGGGACATGCCCCCAGACCCCCTAGTACATGTATATTTGTGCCTTCAGCACACATTTCCCTCCTTCAGCTCTCATTTTTCAACTTTTATGTGATAAAGGTAGTAAAATAAATTTTGTCAAGTTGATCCTCTCAATTCTGAAATATTTCCAAGAACTTTTGCCAACTTTGGTCAAAACTAAAGTCAAGAGAATTTTATTCTCTTGTTACAATTCTAGGGTTAAAAAGATGTTAAACCATAAATCCAAACTTTGATATAAACATGACCCTTTTCAACCAGGAAATGTGTTAGATAATTACCGGTACTAGTAATAACTTTAAGTGTACTGTAGTTAGAGGAAAGTTCTGTACAGACTGAAATATAAATTTACCATATATCTTTAATCATTGAAAATTAGAAAAATTACATAAAAGAAGAAAATAATTATTTTTTATGAGTTCTATTATTTATAATTTGTAAAAATATATTCATAAAATATATTTAGAAAGTCCCTCAGACTTGTGTGATTTCTAATTGCTAAGTGGAATCCAGAATAAGCTAGCCCCAGGCACCGGACTTCAGCGATTTTTGAATCCCAGAATTAGTCCTACTTTTAAAGTAGTATTTATATGAATTTACCAGTAGTGTGTATAGAATATACAACAAATTTGAATGAATGCCAGTTTTCTAGCAACAAGGTCCATGTAAGTTGATTGGTGTGTTATAAACAGCAAGCTTTTTATTTATTGTGGGTTACTTAGGTCAAACTTCATAGTACTTGAAAGAACATTGCACTGAATTGTGTGTAAATATGGTAATCAGTTGATGTTAGTGCATGCAGAAACATGTATTCTCTTGTATTTGCTATGCCTGCATTTATGCTAAATTGAAATTATATTAAACATGCAGCTTACCAAAGAAAAGTTTGCCTATAGCTGTAATCTTAAATTCAGAATTTTAAAATGCTTTTAAGTTCTGAATTTGAACAATTTAATATTAAAAGTTAAGACATAACTTTACCATAGAAGATTTTATGCTTCATATGCTATTATCTTATAAATAGCAAATCTTAAATTACCATACAATGCTGAAAATAAAATTTCTGGGTAAAAAATGTTTTGGTTAACTGTTATGGAGCATAAAGTTTGTAGCTTGAAGTTATTATCATCATCGCTTATTTATTTATTTTGGTTGAAGGGAGGTAACAATGCTGGTCACACTGTAGTTGTTGGTGAAAAAGCCTATGATTTCCACCTACTGCCGAGCGGTATAGTCAACAAGAAATGCACAGCTGTTATAGGTCTGTATATATATATATATATATAAATATATATTTTAAATATATATGTACTTTAGAGTATGGTAGGCTAGTGATATATATTACAATAGTCACCTACTATCGAAAAATTGTCACTCAAGGCAGCAGATCAGTGACAATACGTTCTATTTCCACTTCTTAGTGCGCTCTTTTGTGAAAAAGTCGGAAAATGTACGAATCTTGCGGGATTTCTGGGACAAATGTAACATAAACATATAAACAATATGTTGAATGTCGATGAACAAATCCTAAGAAAATGCAAATGAAATATTTTACTGTTGTGGACTTTATATACATCAAGAGTAGGAATGAAAACGATATCAATTTATATCTGTTGTTGATTGTATGTATCTATTTATCGTATGGTGCATCTGAATACAATACACATGCCTTGGAAATGTCATATTTTTTATTAATGGATGATAAATTTAGGGTTCTCGCTCTCTTACATATGTCTTTTAGTTCTCCTATTCTTTAATTGGAATGACAAATACCAGGGGTGTGCAATTAGCATTGCCCGACGCCCGGGGCTACCATTTTAGGGGGTCGGGCTAGTGATTTTCTACACGGAGGTAGCCCCTTGGGCTAGTAGAAATTAAAACTACATATGTAATACATGAAAAGCACAACCGGTATTTTCACTCATTTTTTTGCTATTAAATTCCAAACCAGTGAAAATTTTCCAGGCAGTATGCTCCTATTGTCCATTAATCTCCATAATCTTATCCATTTTGCAGTACTACCTGATTTATTTACTTCGAAAAACGATCGTTGTTCCTAATCCGAATTTCCGCCATTCCTTTGTTTATGGTAAATACTTGCAGATATTTCATTAAATTATTTACGATCACTCAATAAACTGAAAGATAAGTGTTATGTAATTATCATAGAATATATTTCCAGTGTATTTAATGATTTAAATGAAAACAAAATGATTTTTCCTTCATTTTAGGTGAGATAATGCTATGATCAGAAAAAGGAAAGATTTAAATTCTTTTTTATTTTCTATCATAATCATTAATTTATATATCATTAAATTTTACGAGCGAGAATTAAACTTTAATTTTAAAAAGAATGACCTTAGTACCCTGACTTTTTCAACGATTAACTTTTTTTCAATATTTAGTTTTTAAATTTTGCCTCTATATTTGGGCTAGTAACTTTTTACTTGGGACTAGTAACTTTATTGCTGCCACTAGCCCGTGGGCTAGTACTTGAATTTTTTAATTGCACACCCCTGAATACATTTAACATTTAAAATTGGATTGAGATTGGCATGTTTTGTATTATCCGCAACACCATGCTGTCCCAGTCAGACGACCAAATGCGCCTCTAATTTTGAAGAGTTCACTAATGGAAATACGTATTGATAGAAATTTTTTAACATTGATGGTTGCTGAATATTCCCAAAATATTTTTTTTACCAAACAAGTTTATCATTTAAGCTTGTAAAGGGAGATAACTCTATTTCTCATGCAACTTTCCAACTGTGATAAGAATTTGGTGTGATTTTTTTTTTTCATTAAAGAGGATATATATATATATATATATATATATATATATATATATATATATATATATATATATATATATATATATATATATATATATATATATATGTATCTTTTACTCAGAATGAATATTAATGTATAACTTTATTAAATGAAAGTTCAATCTATCAGTTACTTAAATTAAGTGTATGCTGCCTCTTCAATTTAATAATTTGATAGTAATTTTTTTAAAAATAAATTTGCAGTCACAAGATTTTATTGTTCGTTGACTACAAAGCTTATGATGATCCTATAGAATTTTGAAGCATTTTATTTATTATATTTTAGGTAAAGAAAACAAATAATGAATAGACTGTTTTAAAAAGTTTTTAACACAATTTAAATCAAAGTATTTATTCAGTGTATTCATTGGATATCTTTTTATCACAGGCATGTATTTATTTGTTGTCAGGAAATGGGGTCGTGGTACATCTGCCAAATTTGTTTGAGGAAATTGAAAAGAATGTTGAGAAAGGAATGGAGGGTTGGCAGGAAAGACTTTTGATCTCAAACCGAGCTCACTTAGGTACTGTATGCCTTCCTAACAAATATGTCACAATGTATGCCTTGTAGTCATGTGGAGCATTAGAGAAATCCTTGACATGTCGTAGGTATATAAATGTTTCGTACAGTTTTCTCAGTGGATACGCCACATGTTAAACCCATTCACAGCAATAATTATTTGCAGATGGATGCATTGTTCTCTTTGAATCCTTGACATACAGCCTCAAACAACCATTTTTCGTGATTCAGAATGGAACATTTTTGTGTTTTAGATGGGCTACAGTGTAGTCCATTCCTACTTTTTAAAAGGACAGTTACAGAGTAGTAAGAAACTTGATAAAATACTTTAAGATGTTTGACATCACATACTAGAAAAAGAGAAAAATTTGTAGTAAATGAATCTACAGCACTTGACCCAGATTTGTGAATGGTAAAATAAAAGATAAATTTTATGCTATTTTTACAGTGTATTTACTAGTTCTGGATGGTTTTCTTAGTATCTTGAGATATACAGTGGAGCCTGGTTAATCAGAACACCAATAATTAGATGTTTTACCTTCCAGACAAAATTTATAGAGAACTATTTATATTTATGTATACCAAGTATGTTTCTGTAATCTGGACACTTCATTTATCCGGAGAATTTGCTTTGGATTAAACCGTCCAGATTAACAAGGGATGACTATTTACAGTTGAACTTCGGTATCTTGAACACTGATATCTCGAATACCATGGATATGTTGAAGTGATTTGGAAGTCCCGAGCACTTATTCTTCAAGTATTTTATGTTCGATGTCTCGAATCCTCAGATATCTCAAACTTTTTTCTTGGTCCCATTGAGGTCGAGATAACGAGGTTTGACTGTATGAATGACACTAGAATCTGTAAATGCAGGATTTGGTACGTTTCTCCTAGGGGTACAAGACATTATCCAACTATATTTAACAAATCCTTGCAATTTCCAATGTATATAACTGGCTTCCTTGATGTGAAGGCCACAGATACAATATAGGGATTTGTGTTCATGAATTATAAATGTCCCTTTAATCAAAAAAAGATTTGTGACCTTGTATATATATTTTTTAATCAAGGAGATTGATTAGGATGATTGGTCTATCAATATTTGATTGATTTACAGTAATTTAGTCATGGTTTATTTTGACTTTGAAAAAGATGGTATGATATTTCAGAAAAGTCAAAGGGTTTGACAGGAAACCGGTGATTTACTGGAAATGAAAATGTTCTGAAATTTGTTTATTTTGTGTTTTTTAAACTAATATCTTTTTTTATACTACCTGTTTTATACTTCCTGCCCTTTTTAGTGCTTTCTTAAGGCTTTTTCAAACTTTAATTTGGGAAACAATGCTGACTTAATTTCATATTTTCTATGGGAACCTGATTATGGAACAAATTAAACTTGAATTTAGACTTGTTGCCTTTACTCTTAGCTGTATGAACCCATGAAGACATTATCAGTAAATAGATTAGAAAGACGCTGTTGTGCATTTTGCTGTAATAAATATTATATTGATTAGGTCTGTATAATTTACGTGATTTAATTTCAATGCAAATTTTTTTCAGTATTAGAGTTTGTGCAGTGGAATGGGGATGTCTTTTCCCCAAAGGAGAAAATAGTAGACAAAATAGGATGGGATTCTTTAACAATGATCTTTCCTAAAACTCTTCAGATGGGGTTGGAAATTGTTAAATCTTTATAGATCTATGCATTGTTAATTAATGTAGTGAAAATCCAAATTTGTTTAAACCTTGACCCCCAGGGTTTGATGGGACCATGAAATGGATCCAAAGTTTTATATAGAAATATATTACACACTGTTAAGCCTAGAATCATTAAAGTTTTGCATTTGGGCGTCTTTGGGAGAAAAAGTGTTCCTTTGTGCAACAAATGTAAATCATATATAATTTTATAATTTTAAAGCTAGGCATAATGCGGTTAGGTTTAAATTTTAAAACAGATATTGGACCCAAAATCATGAAACAGCTGATGAAATCTCGGATGAATTACATGGTGTGTTGCAACCAGAAATTGATAATTGATGACCTGACTTACCACTATGAAATCATGTGCTAGGTGTTGGTGCTTTTTATTTTGAAAAACTGAAAATGGAAAATTGGTTAATGACTGTGTTTTTTGTTTTTAGTGTTTGATGTTCATCAGATGGTGGATGGCCTACAGGAAACTGGAAGGGGCAAGAACATGTATGTAATGATTTTTGTTTAACTGATTAGGATGTTATCTTCTACAATGGCAGAGTGCTATTTCATTAGAAGGAATTTAATGCATATATAAATATCACAACAATGAAAAAAAAAATATGAACATGAGAAAAGAAACATATTATAGGTGAAAACCCTATGGATGCAGGTGAAGTTGATGCAGAAGTAATCAAAGAGAAGTATTATTTACAAAGAACTTGTCAAAATTATATTAAAAGATGAATAAAACACCTTCACTACAAGATTAGGTTTACATATTTCATGCAAATATATACAAGTTATATATTTATTGGCAGGTTATACTCTGGTGTGTTGCTAGTAGGTTAATAATCCTGAAAAAACTTTTTTTAAACAGAATTGGAACAACTAAGAAAGGAATTGGTCCAGCTTATTCCTCTAAGGTATGCAAAATCTGTTGTTGATTCTAAAAGAATCAGTGGGAAATGTGGAAAGAAATTACTTTAAAAATCTAAAACTGAAAACTTGTCTTGGTATACAGATGATCATGGAAAAATTAAAGACTTTTGCTTTTTGCTTTGGAAGTTAACCTGCATTTGAAAATACACTCACAGTATTTGATTTTTGTCAGGCAACTCGTAATGGTCTACGTGTTGGTGATCTTGTCGGTGACTTCTCTCTATTTACAGAAAAGTAAGTAGTGGTCAATTTCCTATATCTATTCCTAAATTTTATTCTGTGTTTCCAAAATGCTTGAATTTCTTTTCATTACAGTAGCTTAAGGATATTTCAAGGTAAAGGGAAGTGAATGAATTGCATGTGTTAAGATGTGAAAATATTTTACAGATTAATTCTTCACATAGACTTCTGTGTGAAGGCTTTGCCAAGTCCCTTAACAGAAGGTCTGTTCACACCAAAGAAATAAAAAATAAGCATCTCTAGCACAGTATTAAACTCTTTTATAATTTTTTATTTTGTTTAGAAATAAGTAGAAAAATAATGTGGACATGTTCAACTCTATTGCAGATTCAGGAAGTTAATAGACTACTACAAGAGCCATCATCAGGATTTAGAAGTGGATGTTAACAAGGAACTTGAGAGGTATAAGGTAAATAAAGTAACTTCCTTATGTGTACAGTAACCATGTGTTTATTCTTAGCTTAGCTTGTAAATACCATCTAAGTCTACTGATATATGTACTCATCCACAAATAATTAGATGTAAAATGTTTAAATATTTTGATACTTAAGAACCTTCTAGGATTATCGCTATGAGCTGACATATTTGCACTAATACTTGGTTATTGGGTAAAAAAAAAAAAAATCAATTATTTAACGGTTTCTAGGGATGCGCAATATTAGTCATGCTTCAGCTTCTGTATCTGACCTGCATTTTCTGGATGAGTGACTGGTTAAAAATTATTCCCAAGTAACTATATGCCCTTTGATAACCAAACTTCCATGGATGATGCATCTAGGGATGCACACCACCAGATCTGCTCTGACCTACCTTTTCCAGATGATTGAATAGTTGAAAGTTTTCAGAGCAAGTCCATTACCAGAGCTCCAGATAAGGTGCGTATTTGCAGAAATATGCATTGAATTTTTCAAAATACGCATAAAAATTAAAACAGGGCGTACAATTACGCATTAGCAGTCATAAATAAGCATTACACTATGAAAATACTGCGTAAGATGGATTCAATGATACAAGTACGATTTAATTAAGGTCAGCTCAGTGTTTGAATTTTTTGATTTATAAGCGTATTCGGAATAACCTAGGCTGAATTCCAGTTGGGGAGAAAGATTTGAAGATTAAATACTCATTCTTTGTCTGAAATATATCACATTTCCAATGTTCATATAACATCCAAATTTTCATTCTTGATACGTACAAGTCGATATTGTCAAAATTACGCAAAACACGCATGGTGTCTAATTTATCCTTTGTCATTGCTAAACATTTCTTGTATATCTACCATTTTCTGTAGCAATAATATCATCTAAAGTTCGATGACAACCTTTATTAATTGTATAAAAATAATTGCTTCTTTGCTTTCCACATGATCCTGTGCTATAAGTAGCGCAAGCAACTTTTAATGCAGACGGGGAGTAACTCTAAAACTTTTACGTGTACCTCGATCGATGCCAACATTTCTATAGCAAAACATCGTATATAATTTTGATTTAAAAAAACAAACAAAATGGAAAACAATGGGGCTGGATATTTTGAGAGGGGCATGTATGGATGAGAATCTAAAGATTAATTTTTTCTGGCCAAAGGAAGGATATTTTTCTAGGTAACTCTTGCTACGGTCAATATAGGCCTTAATCTTAAATGGATTTTTGTGTGCCCGTGGTAACTTTGCCTACCGTATGGTCTTTCTGGTGAAAAAAAAAACGAAATGTTTGTCAGTTGTAGCTAAAAGCTGACAAAATTTTTAAAATTTCATTAACCTAATTGATAAATGCAGAAACTGTCCTTTTTTTACATTCCTCTTTTAAAACACACTTATTTTGATAACAAGCTAAAAATCACATTAGATGTCAAAAGAGCAATAGATTAACAAAATACTTTTTGATTATTTTGCTGAAAAACAAAATCTGCATTGATTTGAAAATCAGGGAGTAAATACACTTTGAGGTAAAAAATTATCTGGAGCTCTGCATTACCAAGTCATTGATTTTTCTACACCGAATTTAGGTCCGAATATTAGCCCTTTCCCCTGTCAAAAATTACCAAGTTTTTCCCAATTTAAGTTGCCTTTTTCCCAAAATAAAACCATGATGAAAAATAAAGACAATCATTGACAACTTTCAAAGATTTAAAAAAAAAATAGGAAAGTTATAAAATTTAATGTACATGTAGAACTGTGTCTAATTTGTTATTTTATCAGCAATAAATTGAATAAATGATGTTAAAATTACTTATATTTGTCATTTTACCTGTAAATTAAAGTTAACTACAATCTTATTGATTTTTCCCAAGTTGGCACAAATGTCGATGATTTTTCCCAGTTGTAAAGGCCCAGGCCCCTTTTAAAATATGTAGAAAAATCACTGCATGTAACTTTAAGTCCTATCCAAACTAATATTACATGGATGTTGCAAATATGGATGCACATTACTAGAATATTCATTAAATGTGAGACTTTGCCTTTCTTCTTAATAATATTGTCAGGGTGGGCTTTGTAATCTATGATTATCTGTTTTTTAATGGTGGTGCTCTTAATAGATTTTAGGGTTTATTTATTCATCAAATTTTTGTTGCTTCGAGGAATTATGCCTTGCAGGAATTGTATGCAGTCTTTTCCATTTTCAAAGCATATTTACCAATCACTATAAATCATGGTTCTGTATTATACATGTACATGTATATGTCCACATGGAAAATACATAGGAACAGGGGTCGAAATTAACTTTTATGACTACTAGCATATTTCTACTTGCAAACTTGACGTTTCACTAGCATTTTTCCATTTTCTGTGCTACTTGATCATTTCTGTGAAAAAAAAAAAATACAACAGACTTTATTCAATCTTTTTTATGTCTCAAAGACTCTCCATCCATAAAAAAAAGGAGCATAAACATTATTGTCTATTAGATGATAGAAAATCTTTTCAATGAACCTATCGTATACATGTACAAGAAAAAAAAAATCAAATATGATAAATATTGTATACAGTCGTTTCTTATGGACATTATAGGTAAACTTTTTTTTTCGCCAGATTTTGATAGAAAAAAAGGTTGATTTCCCAATATTCTAAACAATTTTGAAAATCGGCAACATTATGCTGAAGCCATAGACGTGGCCTTACTTACTATGTTTATTTTCCGTGTTTATTTTCATGACCTGGCGCATGAAAATTACAAGTATCAATTGTTTCTTTTCTTAAAAAAGGCATGATAGACATGCCACACATGTATTCAGAGTCAGCTGTGCAGATGTATTTATGTCATTCTGTAAAGCGTTTAAGTGCACAAGACAAAGTTTGTGTAAAATTTAGGACCAAAGCCAAAAAACCTGCAAATTCTGAAAAAGATCATTGTTTTATTTTACTCGCTAAATTTTGCGATGAATCTTCTATATCAACTGGCAGTTTTGATTTTTCACTCACATTTAGCGAGTATTTCCTTTTAATTTTGACCCCTGTAGGGAAAAACATTCTTCCTTGCAAAGTAACAAAAAGAAACACTTTAAACAAAGATTTATTTAGAAAAAAAATGTTTAAAAGAATTAATATATAATATGGTATAAACTGTCAAAGTTGCCACTATCCTATCAATTATCGGTAACAAAAAACATTCCAATGATGACAATTTTTTGATTGTCATGGAGTATTGTTGAATCACTATTTTGTTGTGAAGAAAACTATCATGATGTACAATTATGTAAGATTGTTTTAAACCTTGCTATATGAAAATACTAGTGACTTTGTTGTTTTTCTTATTGGATGTAGTTTTGAGTTGAAAGTGTCACTGTGTCACAGCAAAACTTTACTTTTTTTAACAGTACACACAACAGGCTAAGTCTTGTTATTTGCATTCCAGGTATTGCGCAACAAAGTCAAACCATTTGTGAGGGATACAATTCCAATTCTGTCCAAGGCCATCAAAGATGGGAAAACAATACTCGTTGAAGGAGCCCAGTCTAATGTTCTAGACATAGACTTTGGTATGACAGTGTACAATTATAGAAAATAAAACACAGAAGCATTAATTTTGAAGGTCCTATCAGTGCAGACATGTAGCATCATGTTTCAAAGTTGAAAATGGGGTGGGTGGGATTACAGACAAGCAAAAGAAAGGAATCCTCAAATAACCAAACAAGAAGTACAACAATAAAAAAATCTGGATAATATGCAACATTTTTACAAGGATTTTTTTCCACACACTTATTCACACTGTGTGCAATACGTTCTATTTCCACTAAGGAAGAGTTATACTTCTTAGTGTGCTAATTGTGAAAAAGTCGGAAAATGTACAAATCTCGCGGGATTCCTGGGACAAACGTAACATAAACGTAAACAATATGTTGAATGTCGATGAACAGTTCCTAAGAAAATGCAAATGAAATATTTTATTGTTGTGGACTTTATATACATCAACAGTAGGAATGAAAACGATATCAATTTATATCTATTGTTGATCGTGTGTATCTATTTATTGTATGGTACATCTAAATACAATGCACATGCCTCGGAAATGTCGTATTTTTTATTAATGGATGATAAATTTAGGGTTCTCGCTCTCTTACATATGTCTTTTAGTTCTTCTATTCTTTAATTGGAATGACAAATACATTTAATATTTAAAATTTGATCGAGATTGGCATGTTTTGTATTATCCGCCACGCCATGCTGTCCCAGTCAGACAACCAAACGCGCCTCTAATTTTGAAGAGTTCACTAATGGAAATAGAACGTATTGATGATGTTATTCAAAAATATGAAACATAAAGATAAAAATGTCATGTTCATGTACAAACATTTATTCTAATGATAAAAAATTTCCTCATCTCTAAAGCCTTGTATGTTTCCTTTTTTGCTCTACTGGTCAGAGACCAGAAGAGCTTATGTCTGTCTGTGTGTAAACAATTTTTTTAAAATGCTACTCCTCCTACAATTTCGGTCTGATTACACTAAGACACACAATTCTATATATCGGTTTTTAGATTTTGATGAACAGTGTTGCCATACCATAGTTACTGGAAATAAACATTTCTGTGAAATACATTCAAAATGCTACTCCTCTTACAGTTTTGGTCTGATTTCAGTATAACTTGGCACACAAGTAGATTTTACCAGTATACATAATTGTCTTTATCTTTTTTTTTTTAATTTGGTGAACAATGTTGCCATGGGTACTAAAAATAGAAATTTCTGTAAAATTCTTTCAAAAGGCCACTCATCTTATAGTTTTAGTCTGATTGCAATAAATTTTCCACAAAAAGAGACTAAACCAAGGATCATTATTCTATTTATTGTTGTTGCCAAGTTTCAAGTCCAAGTGGTACTTTTCCTTTGTTATAAGAACAAACCAGTAGAGCTTCAGTCTCATCAGAGAATTCTTTCTCTATAATATAACACTTCTCTCTTTGCCCCATCAAGGACTGGTAATTGTTTCCAATGTTTTCTTTTGAACATATACTTTTTAATAATCATTATCAGTAAGTTCATAATGTCATAGTTTTTGCAGTTTTGAAAGCCTCCTTGTGAGACCCCTAAATAAATGTTACTAGTAATTTATACTTTTTGTCAACTCTTCCAGTGATTACAAATTGTCCATCAATTCTTTCTGTCAAATAAATTTTTACTGTAGTAAGCAGTGTGTTTGTAACATTATATCCTTTCCTAACAGGACTTTACCCATATGTGACATCTTCTAACTGCAGCGTAGGAGGGGTGTGTACCGGCCTAGGAATCCCACCCCACTGTCTTGGTGACATTGTGGGTGTGGTCAAAGCTTACCTCACGAGGGTGGGCAGTGGAGGATTTCCCACAGAACTCAACAATGTAACTTTTAATTATTTTTCTTCAAAAGAGTGATGAAAGCATAGCTTTATAATAGTAGTTTAGAGTTTGAGGGTAGAGTTTGAGGGTATTTGAAGAAGTATACATTTGTTTGCTATTGTAAAGTGTTTTTTGATTATTAGTTGATCTGTACACATTGAAAATCTGTTTAATCTTTAATGTAGAATGGATAATTAAAGGTCATTTCTTTCCCTTCCATATTTAAAAGTTTTTTTTTTTTTTAAAAATACTGTTCATATGAAAGAAAATGTATTTTCAAATTCTATTGGTGTAAAATTAAGATTATTCTGGAAGTATTACTTTGTATCTTGGTAGATATGTACTGAAGTAGTCTGTGATTAATATGTTGATCCTCCATTTTTCAGGAAGTGGGTGAGAAACTGGTAAACATTGGCCATGAGTATGGAGTGACAACAGGAAGGAAAAGAAGAGTAGGGTGGTTGGATATAGTGATGTTACGTTACTCCAACATGATCAATGGATTTACTCAGTAAGTAGTCAGGCCAAACAAAATTATATGTTAGTTTCCTGCAATATGCTGTAAAAAATAAGTCAGTAGGTAGGTTTTAGCTCACCTGAGCTGAACGCTCAAGTGAGCTTTTCTGATCGAAATTTGTCCGTTGTCTGTCGTTGTTGTTGTCGTCGTAAACTTTTCAGATTTTCATCTTCTTTTTGAGAACCACTGGGCCAATTTCAACCAAACTTGCCACAAAGTATCCTTGGGTAAAGGGGATTCAAGTTTATTCAAAAGAAGGGCAACGCCTTCTTCTAAGGGGAGATAATTATGAATTTGTGAAAAATTAATGGCATCATTTAAAAATCTTCTCAAGAACTACTGTGCTTGAAAATATGAAACTTATGTGGAATCATTGTGAGGTAGTGTGGATTCAAGTTTGTTCAAATCATGACCCCTGGGGGTAGAGTGGGGCCACCCTAGGGCAATCAAAGTTTTACATAGGACCACATAGGTAAAAATCTTTAAAAATCTTCTTCTCAAGAACAGCAAAGCCATGATTGGTCATATTTATATGGAAGCATCCTCAGGTAGTGTAGATTCAAGTTTGTTTAAATCATGACCCCCAGTGGTAGGGTGGGGCCACAATGGGCAATCAAATTTCTACATAGGAATACATAGGGAAAATCTTTAAAATTCTTCAAATTCTTCTCAAGAACAGCAAAGCCATGATTGGTCTTAATAATATTAAAGCTTCCTCAGGTAATGAAGATTTCAATTTGTTCAAATCATGACCCCCAGGAGAATAGAGGGGCCATAACAGGGGATCATAGTTATACAAAGGAACTAAAGCATCCTTAAGAAAGTGTATATACAAGTAAAATCATAACCCCCCCCCCCCCCCCCCCGACCACTTTTATATTCAAACTGTTCAATAATGGGCTGATTTCTGCTTTTTTTCCTAGCCAAAGTGCTCAGATGAGCCATGTGGCCCCTGGGCCTTTTGTTTATTTCCCCCCTTTCATTATTTATCTATTAATAAGTTAACATAATTTACATCCATGTTATTTTCATTGTTTTATTCTGTCATGAAAACAGGCAATATAAACTGCCAAAAATGAAGACTTCATATTATTCTTCAATATCATTTTATCTTTCTGAGACGGATTTCCAAATTATGACTGAAGTTTTTGTTGCTTTAGGAGTTCAAAATAATATAGGGTCAATAGGGATGATGTAGGCATCAAAATGTCTCAATGGAAAGTAGAATTTAGCAACAGAAACTTAATAAACATCATTTATATTTTTACAGTCTGGCAATAACAAAGCTGGATGTGTTAGATGACTTTGATGAAGTGAAAATAGGTATAGCATATGAACTAGATGGAGTAAAAAATTACGACAGTTTTCCAGGTAAGTTGTGGATGTAGAAATTGATAAATATTTTATTATTAAATTATATGAACAGTAAACATGCATATAGCAAAGTGATTTATATACCCCGTACATGGCTTTAAAATCTATTGTAAACTTAATGGAAATTACGAAGTATGTTCATAACGAAGCAAAATCAACCATTCCTAATACTTCATAAGCATGTTTTACTCTACTTTTGGAAGGTATCTCTCATTTTGATAAACTGTGAAATCACTAATTTTCATCGGGGATTAATTTTCGTTTTCGTGGTATAAAGAGACCCACAAATCACATCCTCCTCGAAATGTTAAAATTCCATATTGCAGATATTTCGCCTTTATCCATGAGATCAAATCCCCTCGAACCAATCATTTTTCACCAAACCATGAAATTTTGACCCCTCGAAAATAAGTGATTTTACGGTACCTGAAAACTTGTCAGAATTTTAGATGATGATGTTTTTTCCATCAAATATGCTTGACTAAATATCAAGATTGAATTCTCTGTCTAGAACTTGATAAGTCAATATGAATTGTCCATTTTAGAAGTTCGTGTAACTGCACATCGGCATAAAAAAATTGGAAAGGAAATGAGTAATGTGTTAGGTATTGCCTATACATACAGGTGACTCGAGATCTCTCTAAGTTCAAGTGACTACAAGAAAAGTTCGAGAGATCGAGGGGTTCGAGAGATAGAAAGTGAATGAAATCTGGAATTTTCAGTTCCAGTCATCATTGTTCTACTATTATGAATACCGGAAGTATATGTTGATAATGTCATTGCACGTTTTCATTCGTATTTTACAGGTATAATTCACTTGATTTCAACAACAATGATCATATTTTGGATAAATAAAAAGATCTTTTTAAGTTTTAGTATTTATTTGTTCCCATTTCATGATTACATGAAACCTGAATAGCGATCTTCGGTGTGGCTACCCCCCGGGCTTGATCGGGTCTTTCACCAGATTTCTCGTATTAAATAGGTATTTAGTTCTTGAGATAGGATTTCTCATGCAATGTTTGTCGTACTGGGATTATGTTGACTCTTAATATAACTCCATAATTTATGGAAAATTATTGACACGTTTATTAAATTATTTTCTAAAAGTTATCGTCTCGCTGTCAAGTCAAAATAAGTTGTGAAGCAATCCGTTTATAATTTACCAATCATAACTAATTAATTATATCAACACTCGGATGCTCACAGGAGTAGTGTCATCTATGTAAACACCCAATTAACGCCTCCATGCCAGTCCCAGGCGTTTACCGTTATCCTGGCAAGTCCAAGCTGCATTAATTTTACGCTTGATTGGCGTGTACACACGTGCAATCAAAACTTTGAGAGATAGAGAGTAAAAACCAATGAAATGTGTGTAACGGGACCCAGGTCTTGGTTCGAGAGATAGAGAACTTCGAGAGATCGGAAGTTCAAGAGATCATAAGTAAATTTGCTTAGTTATATAGAGGAAAAAAACGGGACCGTAGGTTCACTTCGAGAGATCGAGAACTTCGAGAGATCGGAGTTCGAGCCATCAAGAGTCACCTGTAGATTTTTTGTAACACTTTGCACATTAAGTAGAAAATTAATTTTCCTGATGTATTTATAGCTCTGGATGAAGATCTCTGCAGAGTAAAGGTGGAATATTTGACATTACCAGGGTGGAAAGTAACCACAGCCGGAGCTCGAAATTTCTCAGATCTACCTCAGAATGCACAGAATTATATACACAAGGTCGAGGAGTTGGTCGGAGTGCCAGGTATGTTATTCATACAGTTATAAGGACATCTCTAAATGTGTTGATTACACCTCATGCAAACGAAGTTTAGGGGGCATGTTAGAATCACCATGTCCGTCTATTTGTAGACATATTTCGTCTGAAGTTTATCTCGGAAACTCTGTAATACTTTTTTGTAAAACTTGTAGAATTAATAATATTCCATTTAAACTTGTGCACCTGGCATTTTCAGGTGAAAAAAAATACTGTTTTAGGATTTTATTCTTCATACCTTCATTGACAGGAATAAGAGCAATGACATTCTTGTCTCATAGTTGATTTTAATAATAGCTTGTGACGCAGAGGTGTGTCTTGACTCTGTACCAAGGTCATTTTGGAAAGGTCAACAGGTACAAGACGTATTACTGTTCTAGAGACATTTTTGAAATGGAGAAACATTTAAACTGATACTAGAGACAAGGTTGTTTGTAACTTGAGGATCTATCATGACATTAACCCGAGGTTATTTGGACAAGTTCAAGGTCACTGACTTTAGAAATGTGAAATTCTTGTTTTAGCCATTATTGTGAAGTAGCGAAAAACATTAGTACATTACATATATATTTGGGGTAAAGGTTGCTTGTAACCAGAAGGTGTGTAACTACCCTGGTCATTTAGACAAGGCCTCTGGATGTTAAACATAATTTTGTACTGAATTCAAGATCATACTTACCCTCCTCAGGGTTAATTTTGATCATAGGATATGTTTCGGCCCTGAACAATTTAGACAATATCCAGGTCACCGAATTCAGAAGTGACGTTTTAATGCTTGGACTGTGGAAGGTGATATTTTTTGTTCCCAACACAGAGATAACGGTTAAATAAACACTTTCAACCAATATGTCTCAGCAAGATTAAGGCCATTGGACTTTGCCATATTATTTTTTAGCAAGATGGCAGTGATTTTTAAGCAGGGCTCTCGATTGTCTAAATTGGGGTCATTCAAGGGCCCCATTCCCAATTCAAAAGGGTATCTTTTTTCCAATTGAATGTGTTAATTTTCCCCAATGGTCATTTCTCAAAAAAATTCAAGAAAAAGTTGGATATATATGATAATTAAATTTGGTATTCATACTCCTCTGTATTGCAAACAAAAATATATAACAGACCAGAAACCCAATATATATCATGATTTTAAAGTATAATAGTTATCTGAAAATTTCCCAAAAGGTTGCTATTTATTCCAATATTTATGGCCCTGGCCCCATTCCCAGAAAGTGGTGTGAGCTACTTTCAACTTAGCCCCATGGGGGTAATAGGACAGTTCTGGTTTATTTGAAATTTCATTTGTAATGGCATATACTAAAACATAATTTTGTCTATTTTTTTCAGTGAAGTGGATTGGAGTTGGGCAATCCAGAGACTCTGTCATTGAAGTCTGTTAACATCACTCCATGGATTTGGCCATTGAAGGGGAAAACATGGAAATCTTTTGAAATTATAGAAATCCACACCTGTATCTTTACATAACTATCTCTATACTAAGTGGTGGTGGAATTTTCCCTGACTTTGTAAATAAACAATTCCAATTAATCATGTTTTAATTGACAGTCTGTGATCATCAAATTGATATTGTTTTTAAATAATGGTAAAAAGAACACTTGTAATGTGTTTTAATGATTTTTTTTTTTAATTTTAAATGTGAAAATATTTAAGGCATATAAATTTGTGTTATTGGATGTTAGTCATTGGGTAACAGACATGTTCTGATCAATGTCTCTTTGTAATCAGATCTGAGGGTGTTGCTTCATTGTGTTCATATATTTTTTCCTGTGTTGTAAAACCAATTCCAACATTCAAACAGCTGTGTGTGTTCATAAATCAGACTTTTAGAGCAAGTTTTAAAATTGTTTTTTAATGTTTTTATAGGGCATAATGGTAGTAGAAAATAAGTAGGCACTAAATAATTTCATTTAGTAATACTCATGTGACTAAACTTGTGTATAAAAAAGAATTTTCCAGACAGATCCTATCTGAAAACACAATTTTTGAAGTCGCAACAATACAGTGTTGATATTGAAATTTTCTGTTCGATTTTTGTGTATTTCTTTTTATATAATAATAATTTCGTGTTGATGAAAACTGCTGGATCAAGGAACATGTATATGCTATATTTTTTAACAAGTAAATTTTTGCACTATTTGCTCAACTACATGTTCTTCAAAGGAAAGTGTATAGAACATATTTCCTGATTTTATCTCTTAATAACTCTGCTTTTAATTTTACATCATGCTACATATTGATACTGTATCGAATTGCATTTTTTCCTACAACATCTGATAGAGGAATCTCCTACATACTATATTCATCCTTTAGAAGTCACTGATAGCAATTGATTAAGTTTAGGAATTTCTTACTGGTAAATTTTTCCAGTGTTTTTCTTCTTTTAATGATGAAATATTTTATACTTTGAATTTGCTTCCTAAAATTAATAAAACTTGTCTGCTACTTTGTGATGATTGTGCAAATTACACTTAATAAAAGGCCATGTTGAAGTATACTCCTATTTAGTTAATAAACTTTTTAAATTACTGGAGTTTTTTGCCATTTGTACCAAGAGTTACCATGGTGGCCTTACTCCTCTTCAACTCTCTTCCTACAAGTTTTTCTTGCTAGATTTTTCTTCGGTCTTCAAAATTCAGCATCATACAATATTTTTATATAAATGCACAGGGCTATTTGCCTAATATTCATTAGACCATGACTAAATTCAATTGTATTCATGACCATTCATTCATCTTTATGATGGTATTTTTGTTTTATGTCCCAAACTTATGCAGAGTTGGCGTATCTTTTAGATTATTTGAACCTAAGCTTGCATAGGGATTAATTTTAAAGCTTAAGTCAGCTATATGAATTATAATCAATACTGTGTATTTTGTATCTGTTTGCAGTGTTGATGTTGTTCAAGACGTTGTTGAAATATATCTTTATAAGTTGGCAACATTTTTACCTGTCACCATGATGTTTTATTAAGAAAAAAAAAATAATCCTTTACATTTAATTTCTATAATAAAGATGTGTATACATATACTACAAGGCATACAGCAAATTTGTTTCTTTTTTTTTTAAATAGATTTCCTGGGCTATGATTCAGGATCAAAGCAAACATGGCAGCTAGATGCTATATATAGTAAAACACATTCATAATGATGTGCCAGGGATGAATGATTTTGCTTTAATAGTTATAAATTCACAATATATTTTAAAGCCATGAGGAATGAAAATCATTTTGCTGTAAGCATCAATTCATTATAAATGTTTGCTATAACCATGTTTAACTGTATCTAGCTCTCTAGAAAGGACTACTAAACTTGCTAGTGTCAAATTTTGATTACAAATATCTGGTAATAAGTAAATCAAAATTGGGTAAAGTTAGGCAAAAAATATATGTATATAAAATGGAGATTTATGTCATGTGATGGTCATTAAAGGTTGCCATCTTTGATTTGAACCCTTGCATGAAGTATTGATTCCACCACCTATGTACATGTAATAGCTAGACTTACTTAGTAACATTTACTTATACACGAGCCTAGCCTTTTGATGCATCTCTCTGTCCTAGCCCTGTTGCATGTATTATTGTCACCTTTTAAAAAGTTAGGGAGGGGTGGGTATTACATATGTAATTTTGGTTGTAACACTTTCATTTCCAGATGATATTCTTAAGCTTTTGCAATGAAATTTTAAATAACCTCCAAGGAGTGGAATTTATTCTACCAACTGATCTAATGAATAATGGAGAAAATCTGATACAGGCAAACAAAACATTTGGGTACATGCATATACATGTATAATACATTTTATTGTGAAACCAAATCATAATCTATCAGAGGATTTGAACAGTGTTATGAATTCAACTTTACAGATACTGTTCATTTTTACATTCACAACTATACATGAATTGTCACAACAAAATGGTCAAGGAAGTACATATTTTGCATTTAAGGAGAGGTGATGCAAACTTTTGTTAAAAATCTTGAAAATTAATAACTTAAAAGTCATGTTCAAAGGAGTAAAATGAGTAACATTAACCACATAGATTTTCATTTAAAGTTTCACAGTAATGGGATTTAAAGTGGCAAAAAGTTGTATAGATTATAAAGGATGGTTGCAGAAAGGTAGAATTTTGATCATCATAGAAAGTTTACAATTTCTCAATATTTCAGAAATTTATTATTTGCATCATTTAAAACCAAAATAGATCTAAAAATATATACTAATCCAGACATCCATTTTTTTGTTTGTATCATCTGTCCTTAATAATAAACTAAGAAGTACTAAGCTCAAAAATTGATACACCCTGTTGCTCAGTCTTGATTAAAATCAGATCTTTGTTATGCCCCAAAATTCTGATAGTCGCTGTACAATGTGTACAGCAACTATCAGAATTTTGGGCCGTAACAAAGATCTGATTTTAATCAGATTGCCCTGGGCCATATGAGTATAATGGCTAAATATTTCTTGGCAGTATGTAAATGAGATTCTGTGAAAGTTCCATTGAATTTCATTCAGGGGTTTAGGATAAATTGTTAACAGAATGGGTATCCCCTTTATCGGTATAAAGGCAAAGTCCACGCTTTACTATGGGAAACCCCAATTAAATAATTATCTGTCTGATTGAAATGCAAAATAAATGAAAAATGGCATTATGTAGTAAAAGCCTCATTAAATGTTATTCAGAGATGTAGGAGTCGTGGATAAGAGATAGGTACCCCAAATATTATATAAAGAATGGCAGTGTCCAAGTTTTGCTATGGGAAACCCCAAATATGTGTCCAATTGAAACATAAAATAAATGCCACTATGAAATAAAGATTTTGTAAACGTTTCAAGGAGTATGACAAGGCTATTATACTGATGAGAAATGTGTGTTTACACAATATCTGGCCATAAATTTGACTAAAGAACTATATATGGTAAAGGTTTTTACCGTGCCCCTATAAACATCAAATTTTGAAAATCTCTAGAAATGTCCACAATTGTATATATTTGTATAAAACAAATTTAAATTAACAAAATGTATTATCAGGGAAAAATTATCTGCATTTATGTCTCTGTGACATCACAATCTATTGAATTTTTAAAAAAAAAAAAAAAAAAAAGGGGGAAAATGCGCATTTTTTTTTTTCAATCATGATTTGGGTTTTCATAGAGTGAAATTTGCTCAGGAACCATTTTCACATATTTCATTGATATTATTAATCTTCACAATATTTTGAAAGATGTAGTCTGGCAGAACTGTGCTTAATATTTTCCAATGAAATTATTGCCCTAAAATACACTATATTTTGTTTACAAATCATTAAAATGGTGAATTTACATAATTCTGTTTATGTCATATTTAACTTATGACATCATGGTGGAAGAAAATGTTTTATGCTTTGATATCTGCATATATAATTCTGGCTTAGAAAATAATTTTAGATTTCCCCAGCAAAGTTTGATTTGATGGTGGGGGTGGGGGTGGGGGGTGTTACTTTGCTATTACCAAATATAGCCCTTTGTTTATTCTCTGAACTTCCATACATTTACATGTAGATCTCGCCACAAATACTTTGAAATAGATATATTTAATTATTCCTGAATACTGAGATTTAATATGTCCATAAGCTCTCTTTTGAGTTTCCTGCATCCTTGGGACTGGTGTAGCATAACAGTTATCACAGTTTTATCATGTTCAGATTCTGGGATGATTTCTCTCTCTAATGAACAATGTGCTCTAAGATTCCCTGACGAATTAAATGTTCACACTCTGATCGTAACATGAAGTGCTGCAAAACGGAAACAAACGATAATTTCAAGATCAGTAAATACATGTACTTACTGAACATGAACTGAAACAAGCAGACTGATGTTAAGCAGTAATTGTAAAAACAAAACAAACACTAGCTTTAATGTTCACCTCATAAATACTGCTCTAATTTACCAACTTTCTCATTATAGAAAAATGTTTGATCTTTGATTTACATTTTTTAAATCCTTTCTTTGCAATGGAACATTTTTGTGAAGCAAGAAAGACTTACACTAGATGACAATGCTAGGGATGGGTATTGCCAAAAATTTTGTATCGTGATGTATCAATATTTTTTCCCATATCATGATAATATGATATTTTTACACACAATTTTTACTATGATTTTAAATAAATTTCCAGAATTTCTTAAAAATATGCTGTAAAAACATAATTTCATCCCCCCCCCCCATTTTTATGTATAAAATACAATGCATGTTTAGATGCTAGGATGCCATTGTCTTACTGTTTTCAACATTTTTTTTTACACTTCGGGTAATATTGAAATTTAAAAGTTTGAATAAATAAATGAATAATTTCTGGATATATAATTATGTACCAAATACTGTATTTTTCGTCTCTGAATCACAATATGTATCATGTAATAAAAAATTACAATATACCATTATACAAATTGTGCATCCCTTAAATAATACAGAAGTGTTTGGATCTAAAACTATTCTCCTTGATAACTGGGTAACTAGTGAAAATGCAACAATAATTTATTCCATAATTAACATAAATATACATGTATTAAATTGAGCATAAAATGTTCAGGTGAGCATGGGGCTCTTATGTTAGTATTTCATACATAAATTCATTAGGCCAAACAAAAAAATATGTGTGGTTCCGGTTACACTTCCAAAAAAATTAGGGTAGGTAGGTAGGGATTTTTTTTTTTTTTTTTTTTTTTTTTTTTTTTTTTTTAACAAAACGATTTTCTTAATTTTTTTTTAAATAATACCTATCACTGCTTTGCAAATGGCATTTAAATGTGGTGTGATAATATTCTAGTCAATATTGGTAGGGGACACCTACATGCTAGCTTGCTTTGGATTTAACACTATTAAACACTTGCACTATGTTTTGCAAGGAGGCCGTCATTGCTGAAACTAAAACTTAAACTGGAGCCATTGATGGAAATCGGGGGGAAATTCCGGAAAAAATATGAAAATTGCCAAAAAAAAAGTTTAGGGTCGGGGGTATAAAATAGGGAAGGTCGGGTAAGCGGAACCACACATATTTTTTTATTTGGCCTTACCAGTCTGAAACAAAGGAATTCAATAAGGCATAAATTCTGTTTAAAAGAGTTTTGCAAAGGAATTTATCTGTCAGAAAAAATTTTAAACTTCATCTCCCAACTGGCCTACAGGATGAACAAGAAAATCCAGAAACCTTACTGTATATCTGCAGGACACCACCAATCATATTAAATGATGGTTTTGCACTGCATAAAATGGCATTTTTCTTGGAACTTGGTTTTTGTATAATAATTTGGGTATATTTAGGCTCCCATGGGGAAAAATGAAAATTTGAAATCTTATTTCTCATCTACAGGACACCTTGATCATTTTCATTTTAATCATTTTCCAAAAGATGAATTGGCTACTGTGTAAAATGTAAGAGGAGTTTGAAAATGATGATTGCAATATTTCAGTGATCTTGTCAAAATGATTTAAATGAAGTTTTGGACACACTTATTGGACACAGGGCACATTTGCACCAGAAAAATCTCTTTCATATTAATCTTTTAAGAAGTACTTGTATATGTATCTGTATAGCATAAGGTACCTGACTATTTTTCTTCAACAACAGAATGTTTCCATCTTGTGTTTCAAATTCACCATGGTCCATTAAACACCTCACCTTCAAATAACAAATAATCATTCAAGCCCTAATATCAAAAATACATTTTTACTGCTTTTTGGAAATGGAAAAAAAAGCACTAGAAGATATTTCTTAATTTTTCATGCATAGTTACATTTGAAATGAAGTAAAAATTTAATTGATTATCTGTCAGATGAATTGAACATTATTTAAGTAAAGTAAAATAAAGAAATATACAACTCAATGATGTAATAAATAGCTCTACCTGTGTTCGATAGATTATATACTCATTACCTATGTAGAGTATTTTATTTGTGTGTATGTGTGTGTGTAGGGGGGGGGAGTCATGGTAGTACTGTAATTAGCTCTATCTGTTTCATCTGTGTATGGGGAGGGCTTGAGGTCCTGTATTGTAATAAATAGCTCTATCTGTGCTCTGTTACCTCTATGTACAGTGTTTTGGGGGGCTTGAGGTCTTGGGTAAGGTCTAATCCCCCTTCTCCTCCAATAGACCTCATATAAGTAGCCAGCATCTTGTTGTACTTGCTAAACCACTGGATCTGAAATAAATGTGACAGAGGTAATTTGAGCAAGCTCACAGAATAATAACCCTCTGCAATTTTTTGTGCAATTTTCTAAATTTGAACTTGAACTTGCCAAAATGGCCTTGCCATATGGCTTGGGTGGATTTTTACTGGAATAGCCTGAATACAAAAATGCAGTAGCAGAACCGAGTCCCCTGAAGAATTCTGCCTTATTTAACACTTATACCTTAAAGTAGCCAAGAATGACAGACCCCCTCCCCCTCCCAGAGAATAATTTCCTGTCTGGGCTCAGTATGCTGAAGTCAATTCCTTTTTGCTGTAGATGCCTTTGTTTGGGTTATAGATTTGGTGCATTACACCTATTCCCACTTTTTTAAAGGTAACATTTCATGTGGGAATAGGTGAAAAACTTGTGCAAACCAAAAAAATATATTGTATAAACATTAATTAATTTTAAACTAAGATATAATAGTTTTTTTTTAAATTATTTTATAGCTTTGGTTATAGATTATCAGTTTTCCAACAGTTATAAAAACCTTATAGATAACGGGGTATGAATGTTCCCAATTACTTTCTTCAATAAGCCAGGAAAATAAAATGGAAATCAGGAATAGGTGGAAGAGATCCTACTCTGTACAGAACTTTTTTCAATACATCTATAAACCCATTTATAAGAATAAATTAACATATTCTCACTGTTAACTTCTTTCTCTGCATAAAATCATTACATACTAATCTTACATCATTAAGATACTTGGTAAAAATGCTTTTGTTGTTGATGTCCTTATTTTGTGTAATCTGCAGTTTATGAAGAAACAGAGTTATCATCCACCTACCTCCTGTTCACACATGTTGAATTTGACCTCGGGAGGCAAAACACTCCCAAACTCCCATCTCATTCTTCTTATTTGTTCTAATCTGTTATATCTAATGAAAAAACCCTACTACATGAAAACATATAAAGCATACCACCATAATTAAAAGGTCTCATCGTATGAGGGTTGTTAGAAAAGTTCAAGGACAGATTCTATTGTTTTCCAATGATCTTTAAAAAAAATATGTAGCCATATCATTAAGATACAATATGCCTCACGTCCGAGAATGTCACAATTTTGTACATTTTCATTACATAGACATGTTAGTTATGAATTGTACTTTTGTAGCACATAAAAAATATATAATATTTTACCAGTCACCTCATTTGACGAAATTTTAAATTAAATTAGATGACTAATAATAGACAATAAATGCGTAAAATCAATCAAGAACGGCAATGTCATTGAACATCTTGGAGCACAGAGCTGCTAAAAAATTGTGTGTGTGACAGGAAAATGGCAAAATGAGACTAAAATTTTTTTGAAATCAGCAGGGAATGTACACAGGAACAGTGTTCAAATAATAGCAACTTTTTAAGGATGGAAGGATCGATATTTTTGATGATCCATTCCTGTGATATCCCGCTTATAGCATGACAAGATTTTGAAATGTTTCCATACTTTGCCGCTAAACTGCGTACATACATGTAATTTTAGGATATCAGTGATATCGGATATACCAAAACATAGTTAATCAAAGATTATGAAGCTCACCTCCACGAATGTTATCCATTGGTCAGGCAAATCTCACCAAATTTTTTTTCTAGTTAATGTGCATTCTGAGATCAATATACATGCAAGTTTGGTTTAAGTAGGATTTGCAGTTACTTGGGAATGGACCTGCTCCAAAAACTTTAACCTGTTCACTCATCAAGAAAATGTAGGTCAGTTCCAACATCTGAAGCAAGTCTGTTAGTGTCCATCCCATTTGCATCATCCATTCAAGTTTAATCAAATCATGCCATAGTTATACAGCTACTCCAAACACATTACCCTGGTCACTCATTTGGAAACTGTAGGTCAGATCTAGCATCCGAAGCAAGTCTGGTAGTGCCCATCCCTAGATACACGTTCCATGATAGTTTGGTTCAGGTAGGTCTAATATTCACTCAACAGAAAAATATAGGTCTGATTCAGCATCCAAAGTTGAAAGGGTAGTGCCCATCTCTAAAAACATCATCCATGCAAGTTTGGTCCAGTTAGGGCTTAGAGTTCCTTGGGAATGGACCTGCTCTGAAAACTTTCACCTGGTCATTCATTTGGAAAATGTAGGTCAAATCCAGCATCTGAAGCCGATAAGGTAGTGTCCATCCTAGATGCATCATCCATGCAAGTCTGGTCCAGGTAGGGCTTTGAGTTACTTGGAAATGGACTTGTTCTGAAAACTTAAACCTGATCACTCATCTGGAAAATAAGGTCAGATACAGCATCCAAAGCAGATTGGATAGTGTCCATCCCAAGATTCATCATTCATATGTGTTTGGTCAAGGTAGGCCTTATAGTATTTGGGAAGAGACCTGTTCAAAAAACTTCAACCTGGTCACTTATCCAGAAAGTGTACTTCAGATCCAGCGTCCGAAGTAAGTATGGTAGTGTGCATCCCTAGATGTACCATCAATTCAAGTTTGCTCTATGAAGGGCTAAAAATTCAACTGGAATTGGAGTTAACCTCCTCCAGAATCTTTAACTTGATCACTCATGCAGCATCGGAAGCATGTTTGGTAGTGTGCATCTCTAGATGCATCATCTATCAAAGTTTAGTCTCAGCAGGGCTTGAATTTACACTGGAATAAGCCTGCTCCAAAATTATAACCTGGTCACTCATCAGAAAATGGTCAAATTCAGCATCTGAAGCATGTCAGTTTCTTTGTAAGAGACCTGTTCCAAAAACATAAACCTGGTCACTCATCCAGAAAATATTGATAAATGTATCATCAATACAATGTTGGTCAGCAGAGTTACTTCAGAATGAAACTTAAACATGGTCACTCATCTTGAAAATGTAAATCAAATCCAGCATCAGAAGCAAGTCTGGCAGTGTGCATCCTTAAATGTATCATCCATGCTATTTTGTTCAACATTGGACCGCATTTTTCGGTTATTTCTGGTAACCGTGACAGCTTGAAAGTTGAAATATGATAACCTTTCTTTTTGACATTTTTCTTGAATTCAATAAAAAGAAATCAATTCAGTAATATACTAAATAATTTTTTTGCACCTCCAAAGAAAACAAACAAACCAAAAAAAAAAAAAAAAAAACTAACAGTAACTATCAATTGACTATGTTTTTATTTGACTATATGTTTTTTTTTTCATGTCAATATTTTACTAATAATTATTGAGTCATTCAATGATCCAAGGATATTAGGTCAGGTCTAGTGAAAATGAGGTCAGGTCTAGTCTAGTAAAATTTTCAGATGCTAGTCTGACTGATCTAGTAGCTTAAAAGTTAATGTGCTCTGAAAAACCCTCACACATAATGAAACCACATTAACGTTCACTAAATAACTTCACAGAACATTAATGTTGCAGAATCTAAAGCTAATCTAAAGGGGTATAAAAGCTGATATGTTATACATGTAAAATTGAAGTAATGAAATAATATTTTCACTTAATAACTACATTGCAGAATCTAAAGCTTTAATGTCGAAGTTAGGCCAAAAAAAAAATCATCTTTAGTTTCTCAAGCCAAAAATTTCAAAATTCAATGCGACAGGCAGGTTTTTGTGGGTATTTTTTTTTTAAAAGTGTTCTGTTTTTTCTCGTCCGTCAACAAAATGATGACATCAACTTATTCTTACCTTTTTGTACTCTTATATTATTATACATACTCAACTTTAATTTTAGTTTTAGTTTTTAAAAGAAATATTGTTGTGTATAATTATAACAAGAGGCCCAAGGGCCTTAACGGTCACCTGAGTATAATACAACAATTTAGAGGATCCAAAGAGTATAAACTGAACTGAAAGGTGAAGCTTTGTTGCCCAAAAGCAAGAAAAATAGGGTGATCAGGATCAACAAAATAATTAATCTAGCATTCAGTAACAGTTCATAAATTAGGTTCTAATCTGTTCCCCATTTAACACCATCACCATACAGTATATTAACAAACTACAGTGCGGTCTCGTTATTACGATGTTCATTTTGTCACGGGAAAATATCGTAATACAGAGGGCAACGTAATAAAAGTTCCCAATAAAATCCATTAAAACATCGTTTTGAAAGTTTGTTATTTTTGTGGAAGGTGTATTTTTGCCCTTTTGTTCCCTTCTTCTGTTCTAATTCCTAATCAAAATGCTAATACATATATAATTTATTAACAACTTATCTTGAATAGATATCTTCATGGTGATATTTCTTCTATTTCTTTCATTTTAAAAGAAATACGTATATTTCTTATAAAAACTTTGGCGATCTATTGGATCTTCATTTATCTACCGCCATTTCCTTACTTTTACTTTCGTTTCTGACTCTCTGTAGATAATGCGTTCGTAAAAAATTCAACAAGCCGTCTTCGTTTTCAATTTATAGTCGTTTACTACATAACAACAACAATTTTTATTGAGCTTTTGGGTGTTCAATGAGCTTAGAGCAGCAGTGAACAACTGATGAAAGAGTGTGACTGGCATATTTAAGGACGGAATTTGACAACGTACAAGCTATATGTAAAAATAAATTTAATTTTTTAAATTACTGAACAGAGTTCAATTAGCAGTTTAGCAATTATCGATTTGTATTTCTGCTGACACCTGTGAGGTAGTCCAAGCCACAATCAAAGCTGTTAAAACGTAAGTGAAGTTCAAATTTGGCCAAAATTATGTTTGATACCCAAGCTGTCCATTACCGCAATTTAATTGCAAACGAAATTACACAATACGTGTTTAACATACATGCACAAGATTAAATGTAACCTTTTATTTAATAAATTAATTTTATTTATTAACCAAAGTATAAAAGATAAAATAAACTTTACAGACATAGTTAAACTAGAGACTACGTTTATAAATAAACAGTTTAAATTTAATTGTTTAACAATGGCTTTGACACGATGTCTCCAGTTCTGCTGACCTCGCTAGAACAGTCAAGGTGTGTGCAGTCAAGCGTCACTAATCACCTAACGGCCCTGCAAGTTAACACTCTGTCAGAGCACAGGTGTTTCAATGTTTATTTAGCGTCTCCTTAAGTGTCTACCGTCGATCAACACTGAATAAACACGGAGTGAAAAAAAATTTTGGACAGAATTTTCACATCGTAATACTGAGTCCCGGCATTTTAGGACATCGTAATAAACGGTTCTATTTTGTATAGATTTGTTAAGAAACGGTTTTGTGCTTTGAATTTACAACGTAATAAGCGTTCTATCTTATAAAACCATCACCGTAATAAAGAGTCCGCACTGTATTAGTGCTTCTATACTATTTAAATTCCTTGTTGAAAACTCTTTCATTGGCCTCTTTTGGTCTTTGATGAACATTTTACAAGACAAGTTATTTTTGTCTCATTTTTATTTATCTATTACTTAAAAGTCTAACTGATCATTAAAACTATAAAGTACTTTCTGTATTATACAATAAAATTTTTTGCATAATTCTCTTATTCTATTAACCTTTCAAGTACATTATTTACACTGATTAATTATCATAAGTAAATGGCAAAGGGGAATAACTCCTCTCAGAAGAATACAAATTAATAGAGCCCTTGCCAGGACCAAAACACTTGACCAAATGGTCCAGATGTTCAAAAATCTGGTAAAAAGTACCTTTCCTTATTAAAACTTTCACTCTGCCTCTGATATGCCCAGGAGCAGAGAAGATTTTCAAAGAAATAATGCATTTTTACTACAGATTCACTATATTATCAATAGAGCCCCCCCCCCCCTCCCCACCGAGAAACACCAGAGCCTCTGACCCTGGGACCAGAAGTTTGCTCATCATAAGTAATCACTTTGTTTATCTGCTTAACACTAAGGAGCAGACAGGATTACTTAATAGAATTAATGCATTTTCACTATATTATCAAGAGCCCCACCCTTACACCAGCACATCTGACCCAGGGGTCATGCAATTTGCTACTATGGAAGAAGCACTCTTGCTCATCATAACTATACACTTAGCTTCTTTGCTTTTTAACCAGAAGCAGAAAAGAATATTTTCACAGAAATTTTGCTTTTTCACTATATAATCAATAGAGCCCCCCCCCTTTTCACCAGAACCCTTGACCCTGGGGCCATGAAATTCAAAATTTTGGAAGAGGCATCCTTGCTTATCATAACAATGTACTTAATTTGTTTAAATAATACCCAGGAGCAGAGAAGAAGATTTTAAAGAATTAATGCATTTTCACTATATAATAAATAGAGTCCCACCCTTTTCCCTGATCCAGGGGCCATAAATTCACAATTTTGGAAGAGGCATCCTTGCTTATCATAACTATGTATTTAATTTGTTTCAGTAATACCCAGGAGTAGAGAAGAAGATTTTCAAAGAAATAATGCACTTTCACTATATGATCTATATAGCCCCGCCCTAGCACCAGAATCCCTGACCCTGGGGCTATGAATTTCACAATTTTGGTAGAGTCACTCTTGCTTATTATAACTATGTATTTAATTTGTTTCAATAATACCCAGGAGTAGAGAAGAAGATTTTCAAAGAAATATTGCACTTTCACAATATGATCTATATAGCCCCACCCTAGCACCAGAACCCCTGACCCTGGGGCCATGAATTTCATAATTTTGGTAGAGTCACCCTTGCTTATCATAACTATGTATTCAATTTGTTTCAATAATACCCAGGAGTAGAGAAGAAGATTTTCAAAGAATTAATGCACTTTCACTATATGATCTATATAGCCCCGCCCTAACACCAGAACCCCTGACCCTGGGGCCATAAATTTCACAATTTTGGTAGAGGGCTCAATGCTTATTACAATCATGCCAACAGTTTGACTGCTTGATGTCCAGGAGTAAAGAAGAAGATTTTTAAAGATAGTACTAATTTTGATGGTTTTAGCCCCACCCCTCAGGCCCCAGGGGGGCAGGGACCATGAAATTCAAAATTTTTGTACCCCTTCACCTATTGATGCTTTATGCCAAAATTGGTTGAAATTGGTTCAGTGGTTCAAGAGAAGAAGCTGAAAATGTTCAAAAGTTTACGACCGACGGACGATAACGGACAAAAACAGATAGCAATAGGTCACCTGAGTGACTCAGGTGACCTAATAAAAACATCTTTTTATTCGTATATATGATAAGGAGAATAATTCAATTTTCTTTTTCAACTTAGATAAAATAGAAAATTGAGTTCTCTTTTCAATATGTCAATAAAATTGATCAATACGGCAGTGTTAGACTTTATGTGGCAGTGTCTGAGAAACTATAGACTAATTATTTTTGGCCTTAAATGCTAAATCAACAGCAATAGGCAAAAAAAAACCTAATCTTTAGTTTCTCAGGCACTGTTACATTGATCTTTTTATTGACACATTGAAAAGGGGGATAAATCAATTTTCTATTTTTCAAGTAGAGAAAGAAAATTGAGGATGCCAAGATTGTATATTATGCAGGCCTTTCAAAATCTACCAGTACCTGGTACTTTTGCACGGCTGAAATCATGATTGTACCTGCCAAAGTATTTGATGGGGAAAAAAATTCTTTAACATGTTTAATTAAAATTGCTTCCACAAGGTACCTCCTAATTTTGTAAAAGTACCACCTGTTTCTGATCTTTTTGAAAGCCCTGATTATGTATACTATAAGCAATATATACCAGTATATTGTTACAACAATATTTTATTCTCATACTTTTAATATTAGTTTTAAATAACATTATATAGAAGTTTGATAAAGTATTGAATAACACAAGAGCACAAAAATATTAAGATTCAAGTGGTACCATCATTTGTTGTCAAGAAAAGAGAACAAGAGGCCCAAGGGCCTTAACGGTCACCTGAGTACAATACAACAATTTAGAGGATCCATAGAGTATTAAAATGAAATGAAAGGTGAAGCTTTGTTGCCCAAAAGCAAGAAAAATAGGGTGATCAGGATCAACAAATTAATTAGTCTACTATTCATTAACAGTTCATAAATTAGGTTCTAATCTGTTCCCCATTTACCACTATCACCATACAGTATATTAACAAACTATCAGTGCTTTTGTACTATTTTAATTCCTTGTTGTAGACTCAGGTGACCTAAAAATAATAAAAGTCCTGCCAGCTGCATTTATTTTGAAATCTTTGGCCTGAAAAACTAAAGATTAATTTCTTTGGCCATAGAGTATCAAGCTGGTACCAGTTTAAATACTGAAAGTCATTTGGATGCTAAAACCTGAAGGATTGCAAGACCATTGCTTATGTTATAAATGTGTATATAACTTGTTATGCTTGACTAGGCATACTCACAAGTAAGCAAGAAGACACCGTTTGTTACGCTCCAGAGCAGAATGTCTTAGTTGTACACCAGAATACAGACCATTTTCTCCAGCAATTGTAGCACTCCTGTACACAAAAATTTTATCTTTCAATACATTAATGAAAAAGGGTGTACATATCAGCAGATCGTAATGTGTTATGTCTTTTTTCTAATTAAACACTACAAACAGGTTTCACAGAAATATAAGACTAAAAGAATTTATCAGACACTTCTGTTCTACATTTATTACAGGGGATACCTACACATCTTTCTGGTTCTGTTCAAAAAGTGCTTTCATTTCTTCCAAGATTTGTCTGATTGCATCCTCCTGTTCAAATTGAAAAGAAATTGAATCTAAATTGTTCAAAATTTGAAGCATTATACATATACAGCACAGGAAATTTATGATTTCTTTGGATACAATCAAGTTACTCTTAATAGCTTAATAAAGCTATATAACTAAATAAAGCTATATAGCTAAATCAAGACATTGTGCCGGACCTGAAGCATACCGTAGCACCAGTACACTTGAGATAGGTTGTAAGAAAAAAATATTTTAGATCCTCTTTTCAAACAAATGCGGTAATAGCGGATTTATGCTAATTAAGTGAGGTGAAAATTTGTTTTAGACAATATTTTTTTTACCCGTTTTGACCTTATCCTCGTCAGCAGTTGTAAAATATGACAAAAGCAATCCAAATTAAATTTCTCTAATGATATTTGGTGCAGCAGGGGACACAATCATGCGAAATATTCGAGGAAAATAAAAGGGGCACGACTCTAGGACCATAACGAATTTAGGGCCTCCGACGAATCAAGAGATGGACCTGCTTTAGTTGATGATACAATATATTAATTTCTACTATTTCCATCACTATTTCCATTGCGATATACATAATCAATCATTACAAACTGACGGTAAATTAGAATAATTCACACTATAAAATACGTGGATAATTTATGCTTTTCACTTGACAGGACCAACGTCAGCAAAAATGAATAATATGTTAGAGAACTCTGCAAAACATGCAATTTTTCACATCAAACAAACATTGTATGGTGGTAAAGATCCGTCCAATGTCCTTTGTAATTCTCGGAGAAGATCTAGTGCTTTTTCTGCCAGCATTTTTTTTTTCAATATCGTGCAGTGTTTGTTTACATTTTTCCCGCCATCTTTAATAGGAGTTGTCTGGTTTCTGTTTATTGGTCAAAGCTCTCCAATGGTTGACGAGTTCACAAATGTCTAGATAATCTAGACAAGCCGTTCGAATTTGTTTCTGACATTTTTCCAATTTGTTCACTTACTAAACGTTCAATTCTCTTTCATATAACAACATATTGAAACAAATTCATTTTTCTTGAATATAATTAGCTAAGTGAAATATATGTTTTTACAAAATCTTGATATCGATATAGAATGCAATATGTTTACTTTATTATGTAGCTATAATAAATACTGTCTATAATAAAATATATAAACTACTGAAAGTCTAGAGAGTGTATATTTATTATGGTGTATCCTGATTTATTTGGACGAAGGGTGGTGACAAGTGCGAAGCACGAGTCTCTGTCCCTTCGTCCAAATAAATCAGGATACTCCATAATAAATATTCAATATGTATCATATGGCTGTGCCTGTAATATGGGTAGAATCTAGCAGGAATTGGCAAATTCTGGGCGTACTTGAGGCGGAGACAGAATTTTTGAATAGTTACGCCTGAGTATAAGAGGCGTCTTCCAGGCGTCATTTCTACTTTCCGGGCGTCAATTGGCAAGTTCAGATTAAAATGGCAAGAAAATGGAAACAAAAATTACGCCTGGAACTTTCAGGAGGAGTAAAAGCGTCTGATTGGTCAATTTAATTATCAATTAAGGGTCATTTCATATAGGAGGTTAAGTTTGAATTTGATTAGGAAGGAGGGAGTTTAGTGTGACTGAAATAGGAAATACAGATATATCAATGTTAAGGCTTTTACACTTGTTCTGGATGACACAGTATCTGCTGGTAGGTGTGATAATTAATATCTGGTATCAACTTGAGTAGATTCTTTGATTATGATTATGTACAATGATCATAAGTTATAACGTATTGACTCTTTACTTTAGATATTTTGAGTTAGTCTGATAGAGGCATTCGAACTGTAAAATACTGAATAAATGAAGAACTGCATTAAGTAATTTGTTTAAGTGTCATGATTATTGAAGTGATAAAATGTACTTTAAAAAGTTTATTGAATTCTTAAACATTATTTTACACTCATGGTGGTGTTTGACAGTGTCCCTTATACAAAAAATTGAAACGGCTTTTATAAATTATATTTCTATACCATGTTAACAACTGGTTAATGACCTGTCATTATGTTTTCTTCCAGTTCAAAAGGCTAAATTTTTAACTTTAACATTGTAAATCATAACCTAAATGTTTTCCTTGGTTATATAGGTTTTTAGGTCACATAGTATTATATAATAATAAGGACTTTCCAGGTGTAATTCTGCTTCACATGCTTCAGGCGTCATTTTAGTTTCCAGGCGTAATTTTTTTTCCGGGCGTCATTTATTTTTTCGGGCGTAGCTCATTTGCATTTTTCGCCTCAAATTCCTGCTCAATTCCACTTGGTTTCCTTTTGGGTAAAAAAAAAAATACGCCCGGAACCTGTATATCACCATATATGTATTGAGACAAACTGACGCCCGGAATCCCTCCTCCAAGTACGCCTCTATTCCACCTATATTGCGGGCGGAACTTTTCGTACAGGCGGTGTTTTTCCTTTGAAGTAAAGTGTACAAAAACTAGAGCTACACCGATGGGCGGAGCCAGCATAAATTGTGCCATGTAAATAAATTATTGAACACCAAAGTGATCTCAACATTTTAAATTACATGTATATTGAATCTGATTTACAGAATTAAATGGGCTTTGTTATATACAAAGACAAAATTTCTGCCAATAAGGTCATTCACATAAATTACAGTGCACATGTATACCAAAATACGAAATGTTTTTACAGAACTCTGCAAATATTCGATCCAACAAGAAATCAAGTTCTTGACATGAATTCCACAAATATGAATATATACTTATATAAATATCTTAAAATATCACACCTATTTTAGCAGGATATACCATCTTTGCTGTGTTCTTTGCTCAACTAGAATAAAGTTCAGCTGCACTGCATCCACAGATGAAGAGTTATTGACCCTGACCACACTGCTCAACGCGTTATCGGCTATTCGGTTGTTATCGGGCATTCGGTGCAAGGAAAGCAAAGTTTAGAAAACATAGGTGATATTAAATTTCTTAACTCAATGATAATTGCGTACTTCAGCAAACAAAGTTTGTGATCTTAGGCAGATAAATGATTATACTTTCAGCAGCAAAAAGAACAAACCAAATCACTCTCTTTCTAAAGATATGCAGCTTTTTCAAATGATATTTTATCAAAATTTCGGAATATTTCATCACATTTTAGCTTTTGTAGAAAACAAAATCAGATTATTCTATAAAACAAAACGGTTTATTTATTCTATGGACAATCATATACCTGTAGATAAGCAGACTGAGATCAAAAATCCAAATGAAGGGTTAGTTAACAGGCATCTAAAATGTCTCGTTAGGTTAAAACATGTTATCGTCAACAAGGTTGATGTTGCCGGATAATTCGGTTTTTACGGGTGTACGTTATCGGAAACTCAGGTTAAAAAGTTTCTTTCAGCTTTAGAAATAGATTGGGAAAAAAAGTAATTTATGATCCGTCAATGCTTGAAAATGCAGACGTAATGTGTTTTAAGGATATGCAATCCTCAGCCATGAAGGATAACTCTTAAAATTATTATTTAATTTAAAAAGTCTCAACATGAAGCTTGAAATTGAAAACTATTCATGCAACAATTTCCATTTTATGCATCTTAATATGACTTGAGGTTTTTGAAGTCTTAGAAAGGGTCTTGTAAAAAGTTGACATTTGTTCCTTATACAAGTAAAAAATAAATACAGTTTTAGATGAAGAGGATTTTCTTGACTTTAACCTTAAACACCAATGCTTTTTAGCATAATATGAAATTGGAAGTGATTTGTGATGTCTTGCAAATGATAGCACAAGCTTTTTACACTATGTATTATATAAATTTTGGAAGAAATAGAAAACCTATACATGTAAAACCAAAAAAGTATTTTTTAAAAAAACATGCAATTTTCCCTAAATGCCTGGATACCTATTATTTTTTAACTTAAAATATATTTGTTGATCAGTTTTCAATTAGAAAATGCATAGTTGATGTTTCTATTCGTCTTCTGAATATATTGGAGATTTTGATTATTTTCCCTATGTAATATGATAAACTATAATGATTAACTTTGAAGAAATACAGTGGGTAAATATACATTAATTTGTGAATTCAGATATATTTGTGAGAATTTTCAATTACATAACTGCCGAGGATCGGATTACCTTAAGTATTTTTTTTTTAATTTTCCAGATTTTCCATTGTTATTTTGTTTTGATACTCGTACATGTATATAAATAAGAATAATTATTATAATTATGATTTTATAATTTAACTCCCTATCTGTTCAATCATTTTTCTGTTCTCCATTAAACATTATAAATATGACATGTATATAACAAATCTATAGTTGCTTTAGTTAGTCACGTCTTCCGATCTAATACTAGTACGTCATTTTTGAAAAACATCGTCACTTCAAGTGCCCAAATGAGCCTAGAAGGCTAAATGTTTTTATGTCCAATATAGAGCAATAACATTGTTTTTGTCAAACCATTTGATTTTAAGGTTTAAAATAGAGGAAATAGAATGAGGTGCATATCGCAAAGAAATATTTCTTTATAAATTAAATTTAAAAAAAAACGTTAAATTTCCCAAACGTGAAAAATACTTGAGGGGGGGATCGATTCACTTCACTTCTTCATATGTTTAACTTTTTTTTACAAACAGTGATCCGCGTTTTCAATGAAGGGGGGGGGGTGCCAAGGGTTTTTTTTATTTGCTTGAGTATAAAAATTCAATAACTCTGCAAATTCCAGGTGAGGTTCGAACCTCCCCGACGCCCCCCCCCCCCTCCTCTCCAGCTCCAGGCATGAACTCCACCTAGCTACACATTGAATTATCTACGGGTTTTTCATTTGGCCGATAATGATACAGAGCACACTGTGGGTGTGACCGATCGACAGGGGGTGTTTATTCCTTCTTGGCCACTAAACCAACCTCTGCTGTTTTTAGAGGTCCGTGTTTTCTCTGTTCCAAATTTATATTGTTTCAATAGACTTTTGAGCTTTATTACTGTTCGTTATCTTCATAATTTCCTTCCGTCAGTAACGCTTTTTGAAAACTAGTAAAGTCAATCTCTTTTTTTTCCCTCAAAGGTTAGAATTCTAGGTCATATTTGGCTTAACACCCTTTTAGGAAATTCATTAAATCACCCTTGAGTTTAGATTCTTTAATTGCTTGATACCGAACTAAAACATGTATGTACTTAGTACTAACAAAAGGCGGTTAAGGGTACATCAAAAATGCAAAGTCAACGAATAAAGACGAAACAAGCAAAACAGAGACAAAAGCGAAGAACAGTGCGTAACTGTGAAAGGCAATCACAGAAAACTAAGAATAAATTACTGTGAATTCAGCAATTATTGCGAGTCTTTTATACTGCGAATAATGCAATGTAAGAATCGCAATAATTAAATCTAGAATCTGTATTTTGGTTACAAAAGAGATTTATAATTCAGAGGTTTTAAAACTTAAATCATATTTTCGAACAGGTCAAGATCATGTACATTTCAGTGATCATGAGAAATGCCAAAAACACTCTTTTTTTTTAAAGTTAAGTATTCTTAAAAGAGACAAATGATAGCCAAAAATTCGAATTGTGTGCCTGCCATTTTAAATAATTAGATTTAATGAAGTTTTCTGTTGTTTCTTCACATTTTCCTAAAATATGACAACCTTTGTTTCCATGGCCGTAGGAACCGGGGGGGGGGGGCACGGGGGGGCCGTGCCCCCCCAATAATTTTGCCGATATATAGATTACTATAGTAAACATAGATACTATAAGCATGTGCCCCCTCAATAAAACCGCCTGATGACCTTTTTTTTTTTTTTTTTTTTGCTTGTCAGAAAATTTTTGGTAGTGCCCCCTCAACTGTCA